ACCTCCCCCGGTGCTGGACCGGGGCACGGACCCCATCGCAGCTCAGAGCATTACGCGGTTGGGGAATGCCGGAGCGAGATGCTCTGGGACCCCCAGGCTGAGTCCTGCTGTACTGCCCCGGGAAGCGGGGATGCCAGGGGTAGGAGAGGAGGGATGCCAAGGGCAGAGGAGCAGGCCTGCACCTGCAGGGTGGGAGTGCAGGAGGCACACCTCCAGCTCACAGCCTGCTCTCCGGCACTGCTGCCCACACGGGTTTTGCAGCACAGCGTTGGGACTGCATAGCCCAGGGAGTCTCTGTCCTGCCTCGGAGACTGCTGGACTTCATTGCCAGCCCTCCCCTGCCCCTGTGTCCCCAGGGCCCCCTCGCCCCAGGAAGCTGACTGCTTACATGGCTCTGGAGCAGCAGGCAGGGGGGTTCCCCTGTGCTGGTTGCACCTCATGGGTTAAGTATGTGCCCCCATCAGCTCAGCACCTCGCAGGGCTGCTGTGGCATGGGGAAGGGGCTGAGGCTGCCAGGGAGCCTGGCAATGTGGCTGGGGCAGGGCGGATGCACTTTTTTCCATGCTGCTGGAGGACAGGCCTGGCCAGAGTCCGTGAGGCCGGTGGCCCCCAGCAAGGGCTGGACAGGAGGGACGCCAGAGCTGGCTCCTGACACAGCACGGTGGCTGTGTGTGGCCGAGGGCAATGACAGCTGTGTGGGGCCCCTCAGGGGCACACAGGAGGTCACCCAAGGAAAATGTGCTCCCTGGGGCCACTGGCCGGAGCAGGTCCTGTGCGGGTGGCTGTATGGCACTGGCACCAGGCAGAGCCCTCCCTGGGGCAGGCAGGACAGAGCTGTGCCAGAACCTGACCCTGCCTCCCCCTCCCCAGCGCGAGTGCATCTCCGTCCACGTCGGCCAGGCCGGCGTCCAGATGGGCAACACCTGCTGGGAGCTGTACTGCCTGGAGCACGGCATCCAGCCCGATGGGCAGATGCCCAGCGACAAAACCATTGGTGGAGGGGACGACTCCTTCACCACCTTCTTCTGTGAGACCGGGGCTGGGAAGCACGTGCCACGGGCCATCTTTGTGGACCTGGAGCCCACCGTGATCGGTGAGTGCTGGAGTTTGCACAGCCTGGGGTGCACCCATGGTGGGGTAGTAAGTGGCTGGTGCTCGTGGTCTGCTGGCAGTATCGTGCAGCGGATTCAACCCGAAGGTGCTCCTTTCCCCAGGAGAAGCCACAAACCTGAACGCTAGCTTTTGTTCCTGAAGTGTCCTAGGGGCAGCAGTGCTGGTAGTTTCTGCTACCACATGTGCACGGAGAGAGAAACCAGCCCAACCGGCATGGCAGCTCCTGCTGTGCCGCCGGACACTGTGGGCAGGCAGCTCCTGATGGGTGGAAGAAGCTGAGCTTCTGCGCAGGGAGGCGGCAGCCACCTCCTTCTGCCAGAGAGACCTGATGCTGGCAGTGGCCCTGCTGACGTGTGGGTCCTTGGCCGTGCCCTGGCAGGCGGAGCTGGGGCGAAGGATGGGTGCTCGCACCCGCTCGTCTGCTTGGCGGCTGGCTCAAACCGACAGCCTCCACCAGGCTCAACCGTCTCCGGCTCTCTCCTAGATGAAGTTCGGGCTGGAATCTACCGCCAGCTCTTCCACCCCGAGCAGCTGATCACTGGCAAGGAGGATGCTGCTAACAACTACGCCCGCGGGCCCTACACCATCGGCAAAGAG